CCATCTTTGGGCCACCTCGCTTGAACTCCGAGACGCATGTACCTACCTCCCTTTGGCGAGGCTGAACGTACTACTACCTCGTTTGAACTACGAGGCAAATGCACATGGCTGCACCATCTACCATGTTGGGAAGCGTCGTCACCTCGGAGTAGAGGCGGGGGTTCCTCCTTTGGGCCACCTCGTTTGAACTACGAGGCAAATGCACATGCCTCCCTTTGGCGAGGCTGAACGCCAAGGGGAGAAGCCTCAACATGGCTGCACCATCCACCATGTTGGGAAGCGTCGTCACCTCGGAGGAGAGGCCGGGATCTCATCTCTGGGCCACCTTGTTTGAACTCCGAGGCGCATGCACATGCCTCCCTTTGGCGAGGCTGAATGCCAAAGAAGGAAGCCTCAACATGGCTGCACCATCCACCATGTTAGGAAGTGTCGTCACCTCGGAGTAGAGGCTAGGGTCCTATATCTAGTCCACCTCACTTCAATTCCGAGGCTCATACACTTCAATTCCCAGTTCGGCTGCAACAGTTCATTCTTAAGATCTCTTCAGGTTACAGTTATTAAGTTTAAGTACAATTTATTTGCTTAAGTCCAATGGTCATAACTCAGCTAAAGTTATTTAGTCCATCAGTCAATGTTACGTTCAATTACTTAGCAAGGCCAACACACCAAAGAAAGAAACAACATTAAGCGAAAAAGGCATTATATTGATTTTCAATTAAGGTTACAAAAGGAAGGCTTGAAGCCAGTACATTATGAATAATTGAAAAGAAAATTATCCTAAGCCTGAGAAGGTGATGGAGGTGCTTCAGCAGCTTGAGCGTCAGCGTTTGCTTCTTCTGCCTTTGCTACTTCATCTCCCACCGCTTCACCAGCTAGGGTTTGAGGCACCTCGTCCACAAATTCCAACCTGTGTTGTGACAGGTCCTGATTTGGGTACAATTCCTCAGCCCCCTCCATCACCTCGGCATAAGCAAAGTTCCTCCAGTAAGTGCTGAAGCTCTTGTACTCCTCGGTATTGTGGAAGTTGGCAATGTAGTCTCTCACTGCCTCCTTCCTTGCACTTCGGGCTTCCTCCTTAGCATGGGTTGCATCATCGACGTACTACTTAATTTGGCCCTCGATGAACTTGTATGCGTCCTGGCCCCTACCAGCTCCAGGTTAGCCTTCTCCAAGGCTTCGGTTGTCACTTTCTGGTGGTCATTGGAAACCTCCACCTTCTTAGTCAAAGAGGCAACCTCGCACTGGGACTCATGTACCTCCCTCTTCAATGCCTCTATCTGAGCTAAGGCAAACTCCAGTTTGGCCGATTCTTCAAGTTTTTGGGCCCTGGCTTCTTCAGTTTCGGCCCTAGCTGCCTTCAGCTACTCTGCAAGGGAGGCAACCTTCTTCTCAGAGGACTGGGTCCTCATCTGAAAATTAGTAAGAGCCTCTCTGCACTCCAGTGCGAGGCCAAAAGTCCTAACGCTTTGGCTCACAAGAGCCCTCGTTAAGTCAGTGGCATCGCAGGCGGAGGCGTGCAGCTACCACCGATCCGTCAAGAATTTATAAAAACTTTCAGCAGTGCTTCGAATTTCAGGTGGCAGGGCCTCCACCAAAACTGGGGCCAGAGGCTCCTCCCTGCCTGCAAGGAAACTCGGAGACTTGCCTTGTACTCGAATAGGTTTCTCCTTGGCAGCCTCCTCCTCAGCCACCTCAGCTTGCCTCTTTGCAGCCTCCTCCCTCGCTTCATCAGCCTCTGCACGCCTGACCATTTCAATTTTAACCGCTTTCGAAGCCGCTTCCAGTAGCTTCGACGGTCCGGCTTCTTTGCCTTAGGACACAGAACTCCCAAATTTGCCAGACGAGCTGGAGATGTGCACCAGCTTCCTTTTCTTCGGCTCCTCAGAGACTTTTTCCTTCCCCCGAGGCTCCTTTGCCTTTTCTTGCCTCTAGGGGGTCTCCTCTTCGGAAGCCCGCCAGGTGCTGTCCTTGGAGAGACGTTCGACTCTACCTCGGACCTCCTTTGCACCACTTGACCCCGGCTTCAGGGGCCTCACCTTCACAGTGGAAGTTGCCCTCAGTATAGACGCCATGTCAGGCGCTGGGTACTCTTTCCTCTTAAACTTATCTGCAGAGCGCAGTGCGTCAATACCAAAATGAAAACACAAAAAATATACAAGTGTGGGAGCTTCATACCCTTGGAGGCCATCAGTTCGAAGTCCAGGAAACAGCGACTTCTGTCGATGAGGTGATTGAAGTGGCGAAGCTTCAGAGGTCTCTTGTAAATATCCTCTATCACTTCAAACTCCTCCCTGCTCAGCTTGAACCTCTTACTGCAATCTGCAAACGAGGCATCAACAGTTGGAAAAAAAAAAAATTAAAGCTAAAAACGGAATGCAAACTACTAGGGTGGGAGACTCACGAGCTTCATAGTACTGGGTTAGTACTGTGCAAGACAATGCTTTGTCTCCCTCCACCGCCTGCCACCTGCCCCTCACCCAGAACCATGACTCCTTCCACCCCTTTATGGAAGAAGGTAGCCCCACCACAAAAGGTGCATGGGTCCCCCAGGGAGTCAAGTAATACCACCCCTTGGACTCCTTACCTATTATCCTAGGTTGAAATAGGGTCATGAAAACGTGTTGAGGCATGTCTTCCCCAAGTGACACTTCCTTCCACTGGAAGTACGAGCCGACCAACTGGCTCCACCCATTTGGCAGAACTTGGGTTGGCGACAACATGAAATTTCTCAGCACAGCCCTGAAGAAGGGGTGCAGAGGAAGATGCATACCTGCCTTAAATAAATATTCGGTCACAGCCACGCACCCTGGCCTCGGATAACAGGCTCGCTCATGGGTCTCGGGCACTAACATCTCCACATAATGAGGTACACAATACCTCTCCCTTATCTCCTCCAACCTCTTCGACGTCATATTCGAAGGGACTCTAGATGCCCCCACTCTATATTGTAATCTACTTCGTCCTTGGTCATAGCAATATGCTCAACCTCGGAGACCCCCCTATAACTAGACCTCGACCAAACGACGCGACAGTAACTGACTCCCTACTCGAAGTCGACTCCATCTCAGAAAGCAACTAACACAATAAGAGGATTTTTGTGAAAATACCTCCTAAAAAACTACGCGAACTGAGTTTGCCGAAAAAGCAGTAGACGAAATTGTCTCAACGCCGGGATGTCTAAGCTCTAAGAGGAGAAATCAGATTGCAAGTGCTAAAAAAAATTCTAAAAAGGGGAGTTCTCTCGCCTTTTATAAAGGATCCGGACGAACCCACACCATCAGATCGAAGCTCATTCAATCTGAATCCTTCAGTTTAAATCAAATCTGAGGCATAGAATTCAAACGATTTTTCAAACCTACACCTCAAATTTAAGCGCGTTTTCCACGCACCTCAGCCAACGCGTCTGCTTCTAGAAGCTCCAACTGTTCTAATAATTACGATTTTAATTCGGCGGCAGCAGGCGCCTTGGAAGTTGTAACGGTTCAGCCACCTTTCCTCGAAAACATGCGCAAAACATCAAATCGTTGGCACAACTAACAAAGAACAATTATTATTAATGAACCTCGGCTTCATCTTCAACATTTAGCCATCAAGCCTCGCAGGTTCGGTTTCCCAACCACCTCGGCTTCATCTTCAACATTCAACCATCAAGCATCGCAAGTTCTGTTTCCCAACCACCTCGGCTCATCTCCATCTACCAGGTCTCTCGAGCCTCGCACATTCAGTTCGTGCCACCACCTCGGCTCCTACATCATTCACCCGCAACAATACATTTCAAACTCTAACCATGATATAAATATCTATACTTGGACTTGGGGGACTATTATTTATGGTTAAAAAATTCTTTCAATTTTTACCCAACCCACTAGCTTTACTTCATTGAAGTCCACGCATGACATAAATGACTATAATTGGATTTGGGGGACTATTGTTACGTGTTGTCATACTTGACCAATCTATGTGGGCCTATGACCCACTTAATCTGAACCATGTGGCGCTCTAGCTGAGGTGGTTTGTATATCTGAGGCCTTTCATGCCGAGGCCTGTGAGGATAGCTAAAGCCCTAAAGCGGAAGTACTACATGAGTGGCAGAAGCCTCGAATCCGAAGCTGAAGCAGAAGCCCTTGAACCATGAAGGAACGTCTTCCATGATTACTTCTTCCAAGAGATCTTCTACGTAAAGATCTTGTTAGAATGATTGATGGAACGTTTATCATAAGTATACATATCAAGTCTTGTCATTAGCATGGGGGTTCTGCATAAGCAATAAATGCGCAGTAAGCTAGCAAGTCAAGGATGATGCCTAGGATTGGATGTTTGAATTAAGGAGATGAGGCCACGTGCCACCTCATCTAAGGGCTGTCATTTCACATGTAACACTATAAATACTTCCCTTGTATAACAGTGAAGGACTAATGTAAGAATCAATACAAGAAACCATAATTTACTCAACTCTCTCTCATTATCTTGCAACATAATACGAGTTTACACATTTTCAGATAAACACTTCCAAATATCGATTAATAATTATTGTACAATCGGATTAAAAACATCCCGTCGGATTCTGAACGTTCTCGTCCTGCGCCGTTGAGCTACTCCCACGCCCCCGATTCGTTCATTCTAAACCATCTACGTGTCTTAGCGTGTACGACCTTCGTTCACGTGTGCGCGAGTGAGTCCGGTATCTGTTGGCAACACTTTTTGGGGTCAACAGAGTCAATGCTTAAAAATAAGCTTCAAAGAAAAATAAATAAACTTTTTAAAATAGAGAGTGAGTTTGGGGAGAAATCAATAGATATTTCTTTAAGAGCTAAAATAGAGAGCATTGTTAGAGTTTATAAAAGTTTGACTGTTTAAATTTAGAGATCTCTCTTCTATGCATAAAATGTTCTATATAAATAAAGATTTTTTTTAATTTTTTAATCTTTTATTTTTTTTTTATACTCTTATGTTTTGCATCGTAAGTTTTGAATTTATTGCTCGTTTTATTTTTTCTGTAGCCTCCCGAAGTATGGAATGGCGGCGTTGGGTTTGTGTCCAAGGAAATGATTCAGACTCACTGCCCTGCGCCAGCACCTGATATTCAGGTTAGAATAAAGCAACCTCTTGTTGCACCTTTTAAGTTCATTTTCCACTTAATTCCCTATAGTTTGATCACCATTTGTTAGCATCTAATGGACAATGAAAGAGACGAATTTTGCTGAAATCTCAAGAGAAACTGAAGCACCATGCTTATTCTGGTATGGCAGATACTGAGATGTGGCCCTCCTCCAATGAACAAGGCTATGGCTGCTCATCTCGAAGCTCTTGGATATGCGCCGGGGATGCAATTCCAATTTTAGTGTAGCATGAGGCCTCGACCCTTTTAGACGTGATTTTCTTACATTCTTGGGGAAAATGTGTAGTATTTTGATTTGCATAATGTGGAGGCAAATTTCAATAGATTTCTCTTCAAAAAATTGTAACTTCTTAAAATTCTCCACATGGTTTTATCTATGATAATTTTATGATTCTCGATATTAATTTCATAAAACGGCGAAGAACGTCCAACTCCAACTATTAGGGAAAAAGATTCAACAGAATAATGAGCACAGGCATAGACGTCTTAGACTATGTTTGGCTAAGCTTAAAACAGTAAACTTGCATGTATAAATTACTTTTCGCCTCAATAACAATTTTATTTCTATACTACCATAAAAGAGAGAATGAGAGTTTACTATTTATTTTTGTCACACTCGTTTTCACACTTAACTGTTTTGGCAACAGGAAAAATGCTATTAAAAAATACTGTAGAAATTTTGTCACACGCTATTGTCCACTGTAATATTTTTCCCTTGCTTTGAGCCTGACACACTATGCTCTTTCTCCTAATTTTCACGCTATGAACTATTAACCATATATTATATATTTAAATTTTGAAAATTATATTAATAAACAAAATTATTTTAAATAAAATGTAAAAAAAAAAAACATATTCACTTCATTTATGGAGAAAAAAAATTACGTCATACCACATAATTTTTTTTGAGTAAAATAATGTATTGAGAAAATTATTGCGAAAAAATAATAAATAGTAATAAAATAATTGATTTTTTGAAGAAAAAACGATTTATACACATTTTTTAACACTACCATAAAAAAGAGAATGAGGGTTTACAGTTCATTTTTGTCTCACTCGTTTTCAAACTTAACTGGTTTGAAAACTTGTGTGGCAACAGGAAAATGCTATTCAAAAATACTGTAGAAATTTTGTCACACGCTATTGTCCACTGTAATATCTCTCCTTTGCTTTGATTCTGACACACCATACTCTTTCTCCTAATTCTCACGCTATTAACTATCAACCATATCTTATATATTTAAATTTTGAAAATTATATTAATAAACAAAATTATTGTAAATAAAATGTAAAAAAAAAAAAAACATATTCACTTCATGTATGGAGAAAAAAATTACGTCATGCCACATAATTTTTCTTGAGCAAAATGATTTATTGAGAAAATTGTTGCGAAAAAATAATAAATAGTAATAAAATAATTGATTTTTTGAAGAAAAAACGATTTATACGCATTTTTTAACACATATATTTAATGTCCGTTTAACTATTTTCGATATTAATTTATATCATTCGATGTATCTATGATATATTTCTCAAAATGAGTTTCGAGAGAATATAAAATATTTATCGATTCGACTATCGTATAATGGTCGATAAATTTTTAGAGTTAACTTGTTATCGAAAATTTCGATATATAGTTTCAAAATGCCTATTTTGACGTCCCGTAACATTTGCTACGATTAGTCGTTTCATGCACCGTTAACGACGTGCAATACTATGTCGCAAGTACTTCAATATTATATTAAGAATGTAATATTTCGACTTCGCTTGATATCTTGTATTGAGCCCGAAAATGAACACAAAAATATAAGTTAATAAAAAAAAAAGATGAAACGTGTAGTAAACCTCCGTGCATGGAGGATCACGGAGGATTGGAAGGTTCGTGCATGAAGCTTCTACGCCTTCGTGCACGGATCAATGTTCGAACTAATGCACTTTTTTTTTTACTTTTATTTGTCGTAAATTCTTTTATTAATATTTAATTTTAAACAATTAAATATATTTAAATATTTACTTACAAATGCTAAAGTTAATATTTTTTACCTATAAATAACATTTACCATTACAATTTTTTTTATTACTTTTAAATAACTTTAGCTGATTTTTTTACTTATAGTGTAATCTTTTTATTAATATTTAATTTAATAAACTAAATATATCTAAATATTTATACTTAACAAATTTTAAGTTTACATTTTTTTTTATATATATATATTAGTAGTTTTTGCAATTATATATAAGAGATTTAGAATCTAAAATGTAAAGAGTTACTTACTATTATAGTAGTAGGTAAAAAAAAAATGGTAAAAGTTATTTCAGATCAAAGTTAAAAAAAAAATTGTAATTGTAATTTCGATTTTTTTAAAAAATGTAATTGTAAAAGTTATTTATAAGTGAAAAATATGAACTTCGATTTTTAAATATATATTTGTAAAATGTAAATAATTACTTACGAGTAGAAAATTTGCTCTAAGTTAATTACGAGTATAAATTTTTTCGCTTTTTTTAAATTGCTCGATTAAAATGATTTCAATTTTAATTATTTGTATTTATTATATTTTTTTACTTCTTTTCCAGTGGATTGGTGGAAATTGTATAGTTTCTTGTTAAAAAAAAAAAAAAAAAACTCAGAATGGTATTTTTGTCACGTACGTTTTCACATTGAACTGGTTTGAAATGTTTGGTTCAAATGATTTGTCTTTTTCATTTAATATAACATAATAAATAAAAGAAGATATAAAAAAATATATAAAGTAATGTACTATTTATCACTTTCTCAAGTTATCCAGTCTTGTTCCTTCCTTCAATTGGATTGATTTGTCTCCAAAAAATTCAAGCTTCCGTTTACGAAAGAACTTTCTATATTTAAAACTTTCGATATTCTTCTTTCTTTCTGTATGAAAAAAATTCGTGTATTCGTCATCTCGATTTTGGAGAAGAAAATTATGGAATTTGTAACGATTCTATTTGGGTATGTCCTTGAAAATTTTAGTTTTTGTTTGTGTTTTTTTATTTTTTTGTTTTTTTTATTTATTTAACATACATTGTTTTTTATTCAGTCTACAGATGAAAATTTAGTTTCGCTCATATTTTTCTACGTAATGTGAGGTATGTTATTCTTTCTGTATATACATGAAAATCTAAGTAATTTTTTCTTTATTTGTTGGATAGAGCTATGAAAGTTTTATTTTTTTCTTTTTTTTTTTTCAAATGTATTTATTTCTTACTATTTTTTTTCAAGTTTAAGTAATGTAACATAAATTTTCATGGAATTTGTAACGATTTTGTTTGGGTATGTCCTTGGAATTTTTTCTGTTTTTTATTTTTTATTTATTTATTTATTTAACATATGTTGTTTTTTATTCTGTCTACAGATGAAAATTTTGCTTCGCTCATATTTTTCTACGTAATGTGAGGCATGTTATTCTTTTTGTATATACATGAAAATTTAAGTAAATTTTTCTTTATTTGTTGGATATATCTATGAAGGTTTTATTTTTTTTTTCTTTCATATGTATTTATTTTTTTCATATTTAAGTAATGTAACATATTTTTTTTGTTCTGTGTATACAACTTGGCTACGTCTTTCTTTCTTTACCGTTATCTACATGAAAAGTTTAAATTTTTCGATCATTGTTGTTTATATTTAATGAAGATTACAATAGTTTGGTATAGGAATTTTTGATTGTTATCGTCCAGTTAGTACGATTTATAGTTCCTTTTTTACGTGCATTTTCAAAGAGGATTGTTGATTTGCGGAATG